GCAGCATGGCATCCTCACGTGCACCCCAGTCGCAAGTATATGCGGCAGCCTTGGAAGCTTCGGGAAGCCTGAAACTGAGAATGTCTGCGTGCTCCCGGAGGACGCGACGCAGAAGTTTGAGCTGAGGGGGTCGCTCCACGACAGTCTCTGCGTTGACTTTCCGCACCTCGCCAAAATCGACAAGTACAGCCTTCTTATCCTTCTTCGCCAGTGGCTTGCCAGCCCTGGCTTCTTCTTCGCGAAGTCTCTCGTTGTTCGCATCTACAGCGCGGCGACTGATAACGACAAGGTCCTCGATAATAGACTTCAGAAAGTCCCGATCTCTATCACTAAGGCGAGCATCCTGGACAACCTCTTCTTCGCGGTCGTCCAAGGAACCGTACCTGAAGAAGGCTCTGATAAGGTTTCGGGTTTCTTTCTCGTTGAGGGGGCGTTTGGGATCAGAAAGCAATGCACGTTGCTCTTCGAGCTCTTCCTGCTCTTCCCTCTCGCGTTGTCGCTTCTTTGCCAGACGCTCAGCTCGATCGTTTTCTGCGCTCTTTTTGGAGCCTTTCAACGCAGCTTTTCTAGGAGCATTCTCCTCTATCGTTCTTGCCAAGTACTCCTCTTCCTTCTTTCTATTTTCCTCAGCCTTGATCGCAGCAAGCTGCTCGGCTGGAATGATCTGGTCCCAGTCAAGAGCGAGATCGTCAACTTTGACATCGGTGACCTGCATCCAGTTATCCCAGTCGATACCACCACTGCTCAGGTTGATCTTGTCATCGACATCAGTTTTGGTAACTTCGGCATTCTCGAGGATAGCATCGATATCGAGCTGCTCCAGCTTCTGCTGGTTGCTGGATTGTTCGAACAGGTTCTGGGAACGCATCTTGAGGATCATCGAGATATCCTCAGCAGTCTTGGCCTCGTCCATCTTGAGGCCGCGCTCCTTGAACTGCTCTTTGAGAGCCTTGCCTTCATCTGTCACACCGGCCTGAATGGTAAGATACTCCAAGAAGAGCTTGTTGCGGGCACGCTTTACAACTTCCTCTTCAATAGTCTGCTTGGCCACGAGGCGGTAGACATTGACAGGTCTTTTCTGGCCGATACGGTGAGCTCGAGCCATTGCTTGTAGATCGGCCTGGGGATTCCAGTCCGAATCATAGATGATGACAGTATCGGCCGTCATAAGATTGATTCCAAGGCCACCGGCACGGGTAGACAAAAGGAAGCAGAAGTCATCGCTGCCCTCGGCGTTAAAGTGATTGATGGCCATACGTCTTGGGCCGGCAGGAATGGTACCGTCGAGTCGCTGGAATTGATATCCGCGAACACGGAGATAGTCACCCAAAATGTCTAGCATCTTGACCATCTGACTGAAGATCAGAACACGATGTCCGTCCTTCCTAAGTTTCGCCAGCAGCTGATCAAGAAGCATCATCTTGCCGCTACTTGTAATGAGACCCTTGATCTGGTCTTCACGGCGTGTGCTGCCGTTGAGGACACGCTCCTCGGCCCCCTGGAACATGTACGGGTGGTTACTGACTTTCTTCAGCTCCATCATGATGTTGAGCAACGATTGCTTGTGGCCGTTGCTCGCATCGCTGAGGGCAGCATAGTTGCGTGTGAGAATGTTCTTGTAGTAGTCAAGTTGCACATCAGACAACTCAACTCGGATGATCTTTTCGGTTTTGGGGGGGAGGTCCGACTCGACCGTCTCCTTGGTACGACGCAGAATGAAAGGAGCGATTGACTGATGCAACTCGCGGAGCTTCTCTTGGGTCCTGATACGCCTGGCCTCATCCTGTTCTTCATCAGTCGGACCTTTGTTATCTGCGGTAGACAACGCTTCAAGCTCCTCATCAATGACGACCTTTCCGGGGTTAAGGAAGTCGAGGAGGGCTGAGAGTTCGGCCAGATTGTTTTGAATGGGTGTGCCGGTAATGAGGACCTTGCAAGGAACGCCAAAGTTGTTGAGCTTGATGTAGAGCTGTGACTCTCGGTTCTTGAGACGGTGGGCCTCGTCAACAGCGAGAACTTGCCATTTGATGTTCTTGAGATGATCCGCATCGGCCAAGATGTAGTCATAGGAAGTGACTAAGACATTGAACTTGGTCTTCTTCGGGTTACCATCCACAAAAAGTTCGTAATCTCGGATATTGGACCGAGCTGCCTCCGGGCCCAGGTAAACGACGTAATTGAGATCCGGAGCCCAATGATTAAAGGTATCGCACCAAGCGGGGATGACGCTAAGAGGAGCGACGACAAGGAACGGTCCTTCCTGGCCGCGTTCATTCCGTAACCAGCTGAGGAACGAGACGCTTTGGACAGTCTTTCCCAGACCCATTTCATCGGCTAAGATGACGTTGTTGCCCCTTACCCAGTTGAGAGCAAGGAAGTTAAGGCCTTTCATTTGGAACTCGCGAAGCTCGCCGCCCTTGATATAGTCAGGCTGCTTCTCCAATTTGGTCATCCTCGACCGGGTATCGGGGTTAGTTTGCTTGCGGTCGGACTGCCATGACCGGTTGCATCGGTCGAGGAACTGGTCAATCTTGTCCTGAGCAAGTTCGGCCACGAGAGACTCGGCTTCCCAGGTGCACTCGTCGTATTGCAGGCCCTTCCACTTGATGTAATACTCGGTGCCCTCATCACCGTCTCTGACAGCCACAACGCGCTCGACCTTTGTGTAGTCTTCGAGGGCCTCTTGCTCACGTTCTCTGTCCAGGTACCACTGCTCTTTCTGCTCCGGACTGATATCGTCGCCACCGAATTGCATCTCCAGTTCGTACTCAACAACCTTCTTGTAATAGTTTTCGAGGCGGCGAAAGCCTCGGAAGCCTGCGACAGTTTCCGTAGTTTCCCAGGTGTTGTGGGGATATGATTGTCCCTGCCACTTGATGAAGTATTCAAAGTCGTGTCGCGTAGAATCCACTGTGACCTCGACACCCTCCTTAGGACGATGACCGAGGATTTTCTCGATGTATGGCGAGTTATCCTCGACATTGGCAGACCAGTAGTTGGGGGTAAGCTCGGAGTCGTCCTCTTCATCTTCTTCCGCGTCACTTTCTTGGTAGGCGCCGGCTGAGACCTGGGCGGCCCGACGGCTAGACCATCTCTTTTCGCTAAAAGCCAAGGCAGGGTCCTGTTCTTGTTGCCTGCGGACCTTTCTTTGGAAGCTGCGGGCTTTGGCGCCTCCATATGTGTCCGAGTCGGAATCATCGATTGAGGGTTGGCGAGCAGGAGTGCCACGCTTGGAAGCTGGAAATAACGACAAGTCAACAGTGAAACAAAATGGCGAGGAGTATGACGGATGAAAACTTACCAGGCAACGAGCGTTCAACCCGACGTCTCTTCGCAGGCTTTCTAGACACCGGTGTGGCATCCGATTCGGATGGTTCATCTTCCTCATCTGAGTCGATCTGTTTACTCGGTTAGGAGAGGCGTAACGATGAGAGCTCATCTTGATCCACTTACGATCTGCGCACGGCGTTGTGTAGGGCGTGACTGTTGTAGGTCGTTAGCATGGTATAACACAACAAGAATGCGGGATATTCGTACACTCCTCCTCAACCCATACAGGGCAGGGTTCTCTCTGATGTAATCATCCTCGGTCGCGTGGGCGACTTTGCGCTTCACGACGGTGCGGGACGACGAGGCAGACACGACTTCGTTGCTCTGAGCAGACCTGGGGCTATCGGGGGCGTCAAAGTCTCCGTCATCTGACGCGTCGTTATCACTTGCTGAATCGGACGCTTCCTCGAGCGTCAGCTCAGGTTTTTGTATCGGCGAGACAGCCTCGTCGGCAGGCTGATACGACTGGGCGTCGGCGTCGTCATTCGGGTCGGCCTCGGCGGCATTAACGTCTGAAAGGTCGCTCGTGCTTTCGGTATCGTTGGTAAAGTTGAAGTGGCTGTCATCCGCCGGCGGTGACACATGCCCGAACACCGGACCGGATTCGGGAGATGTCGACATTTTGAGACTTAGACGCGGAGGCTGCCTGCTGTAAGACGACGATGTCAGCCAACGGTACGCGTCATTTACGAATCACTACTTGGGGCGATGGAAAGAGGCCACTCTTGCGACCCGGAATCATCAGAGAAATCCGGTATCGGGGCAGCGGACGAGTCTCAATGATGATTGTCGCATTGGCTCGCGTGTAAGTGATGGAGACAAGGCTGTGGATGATGAGGCGGACGGCGACGGCGATTGCAGTCGCGTGTGGGCGCCTTGAGGGCACGGGAGAGCAGACCATGGTCTAGGGCAGCTGTAGAGGCGATATTCATCAAGAATCGACGGTCTGGCGACCTCTACAAGCTGGTAGACGATGGATATCAAGGGCGACGAGGCCCGCTTCGATGGGCGAAATGATGGGGAAAATGCAAGGCGAATACGCAGGGCAGGGCACGCAGTGGGCAGTGGGCAGTGGGCGGCTGTGGCTGGACTCACAAGTCATGGAAGAATTAAGAGCCTCCAGGCAGCAGACTGCAGAGTGAATCTTCAAGTCCGAGATTCACAATCGCGGTGCCGTGGGAGGAGTGGTGGTGGGGGAAATGGTCAAGGCCGGAGACCCTGGGAGGGGGCTGGCAGTGGTGATGGTGTAGCGGAAAATCGCAGTGATGGACGGAGGAGAAGAATCCATGAAAATGGTGAACCAGAACCAGCAACGCCAGTGGGCCACTGCCTGGCTTGTGCTTCAGACGAGGCCCGCTTGCCCTCAACTCAATGCTTGCTCGGTCCCACTCTCTGATTGGTCAGTTTCATTGGAAGCAACCTCCGAACTCAAGTGTGGGACCGCCAGAGTCGATACCCAGACTGCAAGGTTTCAGCTCCGTAATTACCGAAACCGAAATGTAACGCGCGTCTTGTGATCTTACCACTTCAATGATGTTCTCTTTCACTGGATGGTAGCGCCAGGAGGAAGTACACTTGCCTAATCCAGTGAGATGGGCGCTGTCACGATCCTTGCCCGTTTTGCTCACAACGCACGAATTTCAGTTGTGTGACGAGGATCTGTAAGATCAATGTTTCTTGTAAGTTTGGGTTTGGAAAGGACGAATAACAGGACACAAACCCAACGCGGCTCGAGCCTGGTCGGATATCATTGCTGGAGCTTGCCAGCTCGTTGGTTGCCCACTCCGATCGTACCCTTCCAGACGGCGTGGGCGGTGTGAGGCAGGTGAGAGCGGGCGATTTTCGATTCAATTGCTTGGAGGTATGTATGGTTATGGTTGTTCAGCTACCAGGTTATACAACACTGGAAGAAGTTCAAGGATGGAATGTGGTTGATACAACAACAAATGATTCAGAGAAGTGTTGTTGTCGGTTGATGGCACATCGACTGTGTACCAGTGCGACTTGGGAATCAACAAGGTGGGAAAGATGGAAGACGGACGACAAGCTGAGAATACTCCCGGTACGTGGACGTCGCCTGGTTTTTCTAGGTAGGCATGCTGGCGTCGAAGGGGTTTTCTTTGTCAGCTCCGGTGCAGGTGCCAGCCATGCACTGGTCTCTCCTGGTGCTTCACTTCAACTTGTTACACCGCGAGCACCGGCATCAAGGTGATTTGGATGATTTCCCGCCACTGGAGCTCCGGCTCCGAAGAGAACCTACTGCGAGCCGACGCAGGCAAGCCCAGGCGGGCAGTCAGGCCGACAATATCTTGTAGGTGATTGTGCAGGGCCACCTCTATTTAACCCATTCCACAAACGTAATCCGAGAACCCCCAAAAGTGTTAGAGAGAAACAGATATACCTAATCAAAGACTTTATTCCCGTCTCATGCCTATCTGACCAAAATACCAGTCTTAAACTCCCTTCAGATTATGGGGACAGACATTGTATGTCCAAGAGGGTAGAGGCACCGCTTCCCTGACGCAGCTGGAGCAGATCCGTCCAGGACGATGGACCCACACGATCCCGTGCTGCTGGGGCCACCAGCCTTCCTTGACTGCCAACATTGACCACTGTCATATCTTCAATGTCTTGATGCCGATATCATTTCTGCCTCGACAACATGTGGAATAGACTACTATGAGAGTAGATTGGTTGTGAGTCACTGCCCGGCCGGGGTGCAGGAAATATATGTCGACAGGCAGCCAGAGCTCTGTTCGGAAGTCCGGTTTGATGTCAGTAACCCTGCGCCTCTCTGCATCGTGATCGTTGACGGCATCCGTCATGCTGCGAGTGATTTCCTTGAACGATACCTAGGTACGGTTGTGGGAGGAGTCCGAGCGCTTTTAGTTGCCAACCCTAACTAGCTATGCACCTCCTCCCACCGAGCGTCATGATTAAGCTTGATGTCGTGGGTCATACTCCCCTCCAAACAAACAATACGCCGCCATTGACGCATTATCTTTAGCCGAGGGAGTACTAGATATAAACGGTCACTTGTGAAGGATGGGTCGGATGTGTTCATCCACGGAGGAAACTATCATCACCAGGACAAAGAAAGTGGCAATACCAATGAAACTGTCTAGTCATCATCATCCGCATTATAGTCGTCCAATGGAAGCGATGACCATGTATTCGGGAAAATAGGCGATGTAAGGCTGTGTTCAGCAGAAATCGGATCTGTTTTGGCTGATGATGAGCACAAACTGACCTCAGCAAGACATTAAGTACACGCCCATGATTATTCAACTCTCCACGATGCCACTTGGGTCACTGTAAGAATCTTTGGGCAGAAGTTGTACTGAAATGAAGGGGAGGTCAATGGGAAGCGGAAACAGAACAAAGGACAGAAGAGGAACAATAGTAAAAGTGGAACCCAATGTGGACGACCACTTGCGTGAACATCAGCTAGATACTTGGTGCAACCGCAATGATAGGATAGAAGCTCCTGTCATGTTATAGAATCCTGAGACAGAAATCATGGGGTGGACTGAGAGTTGCCCGACTGGGGAGGTGGAATTTAGGTACTTATATGGACGGTCGTTATATAAAAAGTGCACACGGGGCAAGGCAACTTAAGCAATGACAGCGGGACGGGAACAGTGGGCTTTCGCCTGGCATTAGGTACCTACCTACCAGGTAAAGTTGGTACCTTGAAAGGTAACCTATCAACCGTGGCATATTTCAGCTTACACCTCGAGGTCTTATGTAGCTCCAACCCTGCTGCCATGTTGGTAGCGTTGCGGGGCTAGAGGTACCTACCTCTAAGTAGGAAGCCCGACGACCTCACTTGCTCACACCGACCAGGGCAAGCGGGGTCTTTTTTTTAACGATCCGCCCTGCCACCAGACTCGGCGCACGGTGCAGCGGTCTCGACATTTTTTGAGACGAGGGAACTGACATTGTCCACAACCCGGCGTCGACCCACGTTTGCCTCTGGAGAAACTTAAGAGTGTCAGCCTCCTCCGCCTTGTTTGGCCCTCTCCACTCTGCTCGTAGCATTCCGAGACGTGCGGCACCTTGAGAATTTCTCCCCCTCCCCCATTTCCCGCTTTGCGCCTAGGATAGCGGTCCGCCCACAGTCACCCATCTCGATCAGTCCGCAGAGCGAAACCACAGACAAGATGTCGGACAAACTCACTCGGTGCGTTCACGATTCCAAGGCCGCACGCATGTGTGCTCTGCTTATAGAAGCATCGGCCGAGACTGGCTTGTGCTGGTCTGGCTGTATGCGCTGTCTGGCTTCCACCTTGCTGACTTCGCCTGTTTCGTCTCTGTAGTATCGCTATCGTCAGTAGCGACAAGTGCAAGCCCAAGAAGTGTCGCCAGGAATGCAAGAAGTCATGCCCTGTTGTGCGCTCCGGTAAACTCTGTGTAAGCTTCCCTCTTCTCCATAGTCCTCTTGTGGTAACAAGACCAAACAGCTAACTGTTCTTTAACAGATCGAGGTAATATCTCTCCGGACCCCTTGCGATTCCCGTGTTTTGCGCGACAACATCCTCCTGACATCCGATATCTAGGTGTCTCCCGAGTCGCGCATTGCCTTCATCTCCGAACAGCTGTGCATTGGTTGTGGTATCTGCCCCAAGCGCTGCCCCTTCGGCGCCATCACCATTATCAACCTGCCCACCAACCTCGAGAGCCAGATCACCCATCGCTATGCCGCCAACAGCTTCAAGCTCCACCGTCTTCCCATGCCCCGCCCTGGCAACGTCTTGGGTCTTGTCGGAACGAACGGTATCGGCAAGAGTACCGCGCTCAAGATTCTCTCCGGAAAGCTTAAGCCCAACCTGGGCAGGTACGACAACCCACCTGACTGGGAGGACGTCATCAAGTACTTCCGCGGTTCTGAGTTGCAGAGTAAGGAATACGGCTTACCTTGGAAGGAGATCAGAGGATTGACAAATCGCAGACTACTTCACCAAGCTGCTCGAGGATGACCTGAAGGCTGTTGTCAAGCCCCAGTACGTCGACCAGATCCCCAAGGCCATCCGCACCCCCGACAAGAGCGTCAAGTTCCTGATTGAGGGCCGCCGTTCTCTCGATAACCTTGACGAGGTTCTCGACACCCTTGGTAGGTTCAACATGCTTTGCGCTTTGTGATTTGCTTATTTGGACGCCCTAGCTGATCTTGAATAGAGTTGCGCCATATCTACGACCGTGATGTTACCCTCCTTTCCGGTGGTGAGCTCCAGCGTTTCGCCATCGGTACCGTTTGCGTTCAGAAGGCCGATGTCTACATGTTCGACGAGCCTTCCTCGTATCTCGATGTCAAGCAAAGATTGAGTGCCGCTCGCATCATTCGCTCTCTCCTCCGCCCCGACGACTACGTCATTGTCGTCGAGCACGACTTGTCTGTCCTCGACTATCTCTCCGATTACGTCTGCTGTCTTTACGGCCAGCCTGCCGTCTACGGTGTCGTCACCCTCCCTCACTCCGTCCGTGAAGGTATCAACATTTTCCTCGATGGTCACATCCCTACTGAGAACTTGCGTTTCCGTGACGAGAGCTTGACCTTCCGCATTGCCGAAGGCACTGAGGAGTTCATTCAGGAAAAGTCGCGCGCCTTCAAGTACCCTGCCATGGAGAAGACCATGGGCAACTTCCACCTGTCCATCGACGCCGGTTCTTTCTCTGATTCCGAGATTATCGTCATGATGGGTGAGAACGGTACTGGAAAGACCACCTTCTGCCGTCTCTTGGCCGGTGTTCTTAAGCCTGACGGCACCAAGAGGGTTCCTGAGATGAAGATCTCCATGAAGCCCCAGACCATCACTCCCAAGTTCGAGGGTACCGTTCGCCAGCTGTTCTTCAAGAAGATCAAGGCTGCTTTCTTGTCCCCTCAGTTCCAGACTGATGTCGTTAAGCCTTTGAAGCTTGATGATTTCATTGACCAGGAAGTCAAGCATCTGTCCGGTGGTGAACTTCAAAGAGTTGCCATCGTTCTTGCTCTCGGTATTCCTGCTGATATCTACCTCATCGATGAGCCTTCTGCCTGTACGTGAACCTCTTTCCCACCCCCTTGAAATGCATTTCTAACTTTCTTCCAGATCTCGACTCCGAGCAACGTATCATTGCCTCCCGTGTTATCAAGCGCTTCATTATGCACGCCAAGAAGACTGCCTTCATCGTCGAGCACGATTTCATCATGGCCACTTACCTTGCCGACCGTGTTATTGTCTTTGATGGCAAGCCTGGTATCGACGCTCACGCCAACAAGCCCGAGTCTTTGCTTACTGGCTGCAACACCTTCTTGAAGAACCTTGATGTCACTTTCCGCCGTGATCCTACCAACTATCGCCCTCGTATCAACAAGCTGAACTCTCAGCTTGACCAGGAACAGAAGCTCAGTGGCAACTACGTAAGTTTTGTTTCTGTTTCAATTTCGGAAAAGTTTTCCCATCCTGCGACCTCATACTAACATTGTTTTCCCCTATAGTTCTTCTTGGACGATCCCGAGAAGAGCAGTTAAAGACGGCATCTCCAATGATGTTCTTCCCAAGAATAATAAAAATAGCGGCAGAGGCAACAATACTAAACGCCACCGTCGTTGTTATGATGATGCATCGGATTCCGGCGTTCTAGGCGTCCAAAAAGAAAATGGTAGTTCCTCCATTCATTGCGGCGCCGGGGATGGTAGCGGTAGCGGCGGCGGCGGTTTTGGTTTTGATCTCGAAACTGTCTCTTCCTCTTCCTCTGAGGACGGCGCGCCGAATGATTAACCCCGGTGGCGGCAGTCTGTTCCCTGTTGCCTGGTCCTACGAAAAGAGAGAGATATACCCCTCCGTCACATGTTTTATGGGAAAGTTTGCGCTGTCTTTTTGGTTTTGGCGAAACCCTTGCTTGAGGGTCGACTACAACAGCGGACGGGGGGAACCCACCAACCTGGATTGGAACTTTTTGTAGATTGAGGGGCAACGGGTCAAGCAGGGCGACTGCCGCCGGAACTCTCAGAACCAAGTGGTTGTTTTGAGGGGACCAAAGCACAAAGAATGGGATAAGGGGAGGTTTGCAAGGGAGGCGATTGATCTGACTAGTTGATGAATACACGTTGAATTTTAAGTGGGAATATCCGAATTCTCTTTATACATATACACACATGTAAACTGCATCCATTCAAGTTATGGTATCGCGCTTCTCCTGCCGCCGAGCAGGCATTCTTCAGGACGAGAAACGCCTCGTCCCTTATGTACTGCGTTGCGAGGACAAAGGCAGAGGCAATTTTAAATTAGACAAAGTACCATCCCGGTGCGCGAACTACGAAAGACCCCCAACAGCCCAAAGGCAGATTGATCTTACCCCTTGGTCTTGTTCACGCTTTCCCAAGCCGCAACCCTCCTTCATGACAGTAGCACATGCTACCCAACCCGCATGACTTATAGCGGCGGTTCGATGATGCATATTGGAGAGAATCTCAATAATCTGACACGTCCTTCACACTGCCGCCACCACATAAGTATTGTACCTACCGTAGAAACTCGCCAGATTGGCAAATCTCTACTGCTAGAAAACCAGGTTATCTGAGCATGAGCAGAATAAGCACAGTCCTATAAGGCTCACGTCCGGCTTCCTATACAGAAATATGTGTGCGTGTGCGTGTGTGTGTGTGCGTGTGCGTGTGCGTGTGTGTGTGTGTGTGTGTGTGTGTGTGTGTGTGTGTGTGTGTGTGTGTGTGTGTGTGTGTGTGTGTGTGTGTGTGTGTGTGTGTGTCGGCCTTTTTGACTGTAGGTACCACTTGCTACATTCAAAAACTGGGCCAGCAGAGGCACATTCTGTATGCTGCCTACCTGCCTCCTATGCTTACTGTCAGGCGCCCAAAGAGGGATGATAGATAGTCTTTTGCTAATCTGGCGCGAGTTTCTACGTTAGATGACAGGTCGGACGGACGGACAGACGGTGTCCAGGCGCTGAAGCCGAGGTAGGTATTTACTACAGAGAAATGGGCGAGACAATTTTTACTTGCTCAATTTTTGAACCTTGTTTGTGCTACTATTGTTGCTACATGGTCTTTCGTGGCTGTAGTTTCTATCCAGGTTCCTTTCACGGTTTTGTGAGTTTCCCTTTTTTTTTTTTTTCTTTTTTTTTTTTTTTTTTTTTTTCTTTTTTTTTTTCTGGTTTCTTTACTCCCGTTTGCCTTGCTTCCCATGATCGTTGCTTCTACTACTTGGGATGCACTACACGATAAATAGTCTCACTTGAGCGTACAGAAACCATTCTACTCACCTGAAGACAAAATGATGTGTGATCTTCCTTCCGCCGTTAGGTAGTCGACGATTCGACAGTAGAGTAGGAAGCCAAACTCACCAGTAGATGATGACATATACAAAGATTCTGGAAATTTAAGCAACTATACGACACAAAACATTGGATCGGAAGGATATAGTCTACTCACCGATAATGGACAATGTCTGTTAACATCCGTCCTTTTAACACATGAACCATCCAATCGATCGCTCGTTCTATACAACTTTCTTTGTTATGTGCATAGTTTTCTACCTGGCCAAAGCCATAACGAAGGCGGATGAAAAGAGAGACAGATAAAAAAGACGATTACAGAAAAAAAGGATTTTGCTATTGATGATTAGGAATGGGAAGTGGTGGTGGTAAACACGTACGAGAGTACTTTCAGACTGCATATATAGCCATCCGGACTTCCCAACGCTTTCAGGCGGAGGTACACATAACCCTTCCGTAACCCCGACAAATCCTGGCTTGGAGCCAGCCTGGAATGGTCAGGCACTTAGTCCTCCTCAATCTCGCCCTCTTCGCTACCCGCACGGACGACAGCGGGTGGCGGCGGCGTTTTCTCCTTCTCTTGCTGTTTTTGGGGCTGTGGCGACTTGACGCCATCACGAGCGGGGCTAGTAGCCTCATCCTTAACGGCGGGGGCGGTGGCGGGAGCGGCAGGAACGCCGGCGGCAGGAGTAGCGGTGGTGCTAGGCTCGGTCTTGACTCTCTTCGCCGGGGGCCTGCCGTCATGGCGGTCGTGTTCGTCCTCTTCGGGGCGGGTGCGGCGGGATGAGCTGGGTCTCTCGTCACCATATGGCAGCTCATCAACATCGCGATCCATTACTCGCCTACGATAGATTCTCTCCCTGTCCTCATCGCGACTGCGTCGTTCCCGGTCATAGTGATTGAGCTCGTCGTGGCGAGGGCGGCGATCGTAATCGCGGTCGCGGTCACGTTCACGGTCGCGGTCTCTGTCCCGGTGATCGCGATCCCTCTCCCGGTCTCTCTCCCGGTCTCGGTCCCGGTCTCTGTCCCTGTCTCTCTCGCGATCACGGTCACGATCACGGTCTCTTTCCCGTTCACGATCACGGTCACGATAGTCACGACGATCACGATCACGCTCGCGATCGCGATCCCTATCTCTGTCTCGAATAGAGTCATGATGACCATCTACTGACCTGCGGTCCGAAAGCAGACTCTCTGCCATGCTGGACTTGCGGAAATTGCGTTCCCGCTCGGCGATGGCCTTGCGGCGGTCCGCCTCGTACGGATCGTGTTCTGGACTGCGGCTGCGAACGGAGCGTGCGCTGCTGCGGTGAGAGCGCTCACCTCTGTCCCGATACAAGTCGCCGCGATCACGACGACGCAGTCGGTCTCTTTCGGCCTCTTCTTCCTTTTCCTTCAAGCGGCGAATGTGTTTCTCGAAGGCACTGCGGCGAGCCTCGTCGGAAGCAACAGCCTTAAACTCGTTGCTCTGAGCAATGCGACCCTCTACCTGCTCGTAAGTTTCATTGACCGTGATGGGAGGTTCCAACCTCTTAAGGTATGAACGAAGATCGTCCAAGGCACGACGCTGCTGGCGTTCAGAATGCTTGTCGTCATCTGCTGACCGTTTGGCCTTCTTTTCTTGAAGCTGTTTTTTTTTTGGTAATTAGATATTCGTTCCCGCGCTGGGTAAATGTAGGTCACTTACACGCTCGAAAATAAGCTCAAGAATATCGCGCTCAATGTTAGCGGTGCGGCGGTCATCTTTCACAATTGCTTCAAACTCTTGGAAAGTAGTCTTGGGAGTGACCTCAAACCGTTTATCCTGCCATCCTTCGTTAGCGGAGATCCGAAAGTAGGCTTATGGTTGCCAGTGTCCTCACATCAATAACATCCAGGATATCATTCCTGGTGGTTCTCAAGGCACGTTCTTCTTCCTCGACGACGTCCCAGAACAATTCCATGGGGGTAGAGCCGGGCTGACCGGCCATAGCCAAGTACCTCTCATCGTGTTCAAGAAGAGGGTAGACCTTGGACCACTTGGATCCTGCTTTGATCTTACCATCCTTCCTCAACTCAGCAAGAAGAGCGCAGAAATTGTCGCGGTTCTTGCGCTCCTTACGAAGCTTCTTGTTCTTCTCTTCTTGCCTAGAGTCGTTGAAGGTACGTTCTAAAGCCTTGACGTGGTTTTGAAAAACGGTCAGGATATCATACTTGCTGAGGGACTTGTACTTCTCATCCTGTTGGAACTCTGCAGTGCTCTCAATAGTGCCTTGAGCTTCAGACCACCTAGTGTAGGGCTCAAGGTCAAGTTTCGGGAGAAGCTCAATCAACCCGTCCATGGCACTCTTGCGCAAAGCGATCTGTTGATCCTTGTGTGCCTTTCTAAGCTCAACCCGGTAGTCCTCAAACAACTGGCGTCGCTCATTGTCGTCATTGGTAGATCGGAAGATGGTCTCGCCCTCGATCATGGGCCGAGCAGTTTTCCAGCGTGTGTAGTGCTTGATTTCCGGGTGGCTCCGTAGCATCGTGGCGAAATCGGCGCGTAGCTTGGTTAGTCTCTCCTTTGCACGCTCCTTATCCTGAACAATGACATCATGGCAATACTTCTCGAAAGCGGCCTTGCGATCCTTTGGATCCTTGATAGCACGGAACTGAGGATCCTTGACAACAGCTCGGAGGGTTTGTTCCCAAGTCCAATCAGGCTGGACGCCACTGCGTTTCAGAAGCTTGACGAAGGCAGCCTCCGCCTCCTCTGGTGTCGCGTATTCCGGATCGGCGGTCGCAGGAACGAAAGCTGGAGCTGAATTGTTGTTGTTGCCAAACGTCAACTGACGCGACTCTCCCAGTGGCTCTCGGTAGTCGCGGTGGTCGCGGTGGTCGCGGTGGTCACGGTCCCGATCCCGATCCCGATCGCGATAGTCACGATCACGGTCCCGATCACGATAGTCACGGTCGCGATCGCGGTCGGGGCGGTAGTTGTCAGACTGACCGCCTCCATATCCACCATGATGGCCACCTCCGGGAGCCGAAAAAGGACCGGTAGGAGTACTGTTGAGAAAGATGTCAGTTACTGAATTGCCTGACCGAGGGCGCATGGACCAAGGACTTACGCAGCGCTGGTCGGTGTCGTGGTTCCGACACCAAGAGCTTGCTTGTAGACTTCAGGCATCTCCCACGAGCTTTGCTTGGTTTCAGTGTTGTACCAGTACTTTTTGCCGCCCTCGGCTGTATATTCTTTCCAGGGCTGGTTGGCGAGCGCACGCTAGAAGCTTGTTAGTACTTTCTGTTTCGGCGATGGACTGCGAGCGCCATTAACATACCTCGGCGGGAGTCATCAGCTCCTCCGGCTTGGTCCATTGCGTGACCCTCGTCAGGGAGTTGTAGTAGTATACACGTCCATCAGGCGTACGGTGTTCTTGCCAGGTCAAGCCTGGCTGCGGGAACGGCCCGCCGGGCAGCGGATTCATCGTGACTGAGTATGTGGTCAATACTAAGAAGATATGTTCCTTTCCGTAAATATTTCCGCCCAGTTATAGGTGGTCGGGGGTCCGGAAGCGATGCGGTCGTGGGGTTGAAGAAATCTTTGGAGGCTGCGAATTGGAAGAGGCCGGGACCCCAAGAAAATGCAGGCGCGACAGGCGAAAGAGTGACGGGAAAATGCACGGATCCACTGCAGTTTGGCAGTTTGCGGTCCAGCGATTCAAATGCCAAGACCATAGCCGGGGAGTGCGTGGCACAGACCATTCCCGTCCAGCTTCCGTGGGGCTGTGGATTGCTCAGGCTGTCACTCTAGGGTCGCCCCTGGCACTTCAGGCCTGTCGCTGTCACTGCCGTGCCCGGTTCAGAAGACGCCGGCCGGGCCCTTGCCGTTCGTTGTGTCGTGGACTTGCGGTGTTACTCAACCTCTCAGTCGGTCCCGGTTACCTTAACACCGGCGCCCGATTCAGTCCACCTACAACCCCTGAATGCCTTCACTGTAGTACCTTCCACATATCTGATCTAGAGTATTGGAAGAACACGATTCATGACGGGGCATCTTTAGTATGTTCCGCGATTGGACCAGCAGGAAACACGGCATTCAGACCAGAGGAGCGGAAATTCATCATCATAACCAGCGTTCACCGTAACTGGCCAGCCAAGTACCTTACTGCTGGCCTCACACAAAGACCCAGGAGAGGCAAACAACCGAACCCACGACACTCACTCATATCTCCACAACGCAATGGTTAATAACATGAATGACGACGACGACACCCACGATGATGGCCAAGCATTTTTGGAACAATCCTACTTCAGTTACATCATCCCCTCGGCTTCCAATTTGAAGGCAGATACAAATTCACCACCAAGCTTGCTAGAAGGCATCAGTCAACGAGATGTGCTCTTTTTCGGTATGAGGTTGGCATCACGTACCCGCCCTGTCTTCTCACTTTACTTATTCCCTGACTGCAGATGAGACGGCTGATGTCTATCTTGTACTCCGTACCCCTCGCCAATATGAGGACACACTACGATCTTCGCTATCCCGTATAGTCGTTACATTAGAGGCTCAGATCGTGAACGGCCATGGATCCGACCGTGAAGGTCCCCCGGCAGCAGAAATTATCTACACTGGACTCGTTCCAGATCCAGCCGATGCCATCATCTTGAGTACTGGGGAGGAGGAGAATGAAAAGGAGAAGGCCGAAGAGGATGGGGATAGCAAAGCCGATAATGGAAAGGATTTATATGTTTATGCCATCTGGAGGATGCCCGTCTTCGTATCACGGCCAAGGATCAGACTACAAGCGCCCTCTATTGTCTTTGCAGCAACTGCCGGCTTGAAGCTCCTTGATCCCAGGAAATCTCGAGACATGGCCGACGAGGGCTACATGCAAAGTTGCGCACCAGCAGGCCTCAACCTTCTCGAGTCCTTTGCCGACGACCCAATGTTAGGCGGGATTCAGCCCCGTCTTTCCGCTCTCCGAGTATCCAGAGTCGCTCCCGTCACACAAACAAAACAACCACTGCGTCTGTTCAGGGGCATGCAAAGCCTCAGACTTCGAGTCTATCCCGTCGTCCACACGCGGGTACGCTTCGCGCGGCCCAACACAAGCCCACCAAGTCCAGCGTTAATTGCCCTTCTTGAGGTGGATTTCACCCCCTTCTTCGACTGCGAAGCCGCCTTGCAAAAGATCGACCTAGCCGTAACCGACGGCACAGTCGACGATCTCAACAACCAAGATCTTATGGCCCTCCCCCTGCACTGCGTCGCCCACGACCATCTCACCTTCCTTTACCGACTCGCACCGCGTCAGCTCGAGATCATCAGTAAGCACCCTTCTCGAGAGCTCATCATCACAGTCGAGGTGGCCGTCCTCGTCCAGCCTAGCGGCGCCGACCCCTGCACCCCGAAACTGACCATGTCCTGGACCACGCCGCTGGACTTCACACTGCCCGTCAACCCAGGCTTCGGCACGCCCATGACGAAGCCGATCGAGCGCAGACACAAGCCTAGCCAGCTCTCTATTTCGGGCGGCGTCGACTCGATGCCGCTCGTCTCGCCCTCCGTCACCCGCCCGGACGCGCTCCCCTCGCTCGAGGCCTCCATCACCACGCAGCGCACTTTCGAGACGCCTGTCCCGGACTTTGGCATCACCGTGACCTTTGTTGGGCCCGACCGGCCCGTGTACGCCGGTGAGGAATTTGCCTGGACGGTGTTTGTCGTCAACCGCACTAAACCAGAAGGCGCCACTGGCACCTCTTCGACTTCCACCTCCACCAACACCAACACCACCACTACCACCACCAACGGCATCATCACCACTCGCAGCAACAGCATTAGCATCACCAACGCCATCAGTGGTATTAGCGGCATCGGCGGCGATGGTATCCCCACAATTCTCACCACCCCGTCCACCACCACCACCACCACCACCTCCACCACCTCTGGCTCTCCCGCCTCCCAGCGTAAACTAGCCCTCTACGCCCTCCCTAAACGTCGCCGGAACGAAGTCCGTACGCACCGCGCCTTATCCACCGCGGCGCCCTCTAACAAGCGCGACCCGCTCATCGCGGACGCCGTGCTGGACGATAGCGTGGTGCACGCGATGCAGCGCAGCAGCGTGGTGGACAGCACCGAGGTGGTTTGTTTGTCTGCGGACGCGCGCGTGGGGCCCCTTGCTCCCAATGCGTGCGCTGTGGTGGAGCTGAGGTTTTTGGCGCTTAAAGAGGGGGTCTTGGGGATTGAGGCGGTGAGGATTGTGGATTTGGGAAGTCAGGAGCATGTGGATGTTAGGGAGTTGCCTGTTATTGTTGTTAGGGCAGGGAGGAAGGATGGGGAGAAGAAGGAGGGGGATGATGCCAAGGGTGGTGAGAGGGAGGTGTTTGAGGAAGTGTCTGTGGAGTGATATGATGGTTTTCATGGGCGGTAAGTGATCATGATTGTGAGCTGCTTGGTGGTATGACGGATGGAAGCTAGTTGAGATTGGTAGACCGGGTGGTCAAAGTAGATATCAATGCCATTGCGATTGTTTTGTGATGATACGGGCCGGCGAAGAATAGCACAGCGAATGGCGAGATGAACTTGGAATGACTAATCGGGTATGGTCACTGGGTCTTTCTCAGTAACATAATCATTGTCGTCCGCATTCACACACTGTTGTCGTTAAATATTGTGGAAGATTTTCAAGGACGAGATAACGTCATGAAAATTGGAGTCCGATCGAGTTGCTATATCCTTAGCGGGCCCAGGGAGCCTAGTGGGTCAAGCATACTCAAATATCTGACATACTTTGATGTAAGAAGTGTTCGAAGCGGTCAACGGCCAATATCGGGGATACCACTCTTGAGAGGAAACCAGGGATTAAACATAGGGAGATCAATACAGCCATTGAGGCGGTCACCCCCCTCATCCAGTGAGGTTGGGGTGCCAGAAGCGAAAGTTACTTACAAGCTGAAGTGCCCGAAGAAATGTAACACGATATAGCTGGCCTCATGCTTCCAGATAAGAGAGAAAGTTGTTTCTCTGCTGATATCACCGTCAACGCAGGTACCGTCAACGCAGGTATACATCTGCACCCAGCCTGGAAGACATGAAGAGCTAGGAGCTGAACAGGGGCCGAAGAAGACCCGTACATCGATAGTCAAACACAACACGGGGTTGCGGAAACATGGAAGTAACGGAAGACAGAAACTGAAGCGTCGCCATAAAGGATAATCCAATTTGAGAAGAGCGTACCCTCAACCGCTACATGGTGCGTTATCCAAACAAGTCCTTGCTAACCCAACAAAACCAAGGAGAATTCATATTTGGAAAGTAAATAAAGAAGGGGTCATAAAAAGCCAGGGAAAAAGAGCTGAAGCCAGACCCAGGCGCAAAGAAATACATTCTGCCACCGCAAAAAAACAGGGTATAACACTCGTATGTGACCAAGAAACCTTTCCTTCCTCCTGTCTCCTCGTACCAAGCACTGCAGGGCTGAGTACCCCTGCCCAGCGCCCCAAGCATACGAAATCGCCGGGAATCATATAACGGAAAGCCATAATAACCACAGAATCGCCAATCACCCGAGTTTCCGAGTCGGTAAAAAGCTCATGTGTACAGCCGTTGAGTACTTCGCGAGTTGGGGAAAAGAGAGTAGGGATCTGGAGAGCCAGCAGATCCAGCACGCCAACAAAAGAGGTATCATCCGAAAAAAGAATAAAAAGGAACCGACAAATATGTACCTAGCCCTCCACCCACCATGTACTCCTCTATGATCCGATATCGGAAAACCGAATGCTGCAAACCAATTGCACGCCCGCCCAACAAAAGGCTCGCTCGTCTCTCCAATGAGTCGAATACTGGGGTATCTTTGAAACGTTTGGAACTCGGAAATCCAAGGATGACCGGGCGGCAGGCGTGTATTTTTTTAGCAATCGTTTTCCCCTCCTGGAATGAGGCAGAAGTGTCATGAATGGCGCCGCATCAACAACATGGCTGGTCACACCAAACCAAACGCGCACCATCACAGCGTCGTCCTCACCTACTGTGGTTGGTTGGTCCACCACGTAGCAGGAGTTTGCTGTTGTTGGGTCCATGGCTGCGAAACGGCCGGGGATGGTGCGCTCTGGTGCATGTATTGGCGCGGAGTTTGGTCATTTGAGTACATCCCCTGAGAGGGAGCACCATAGCCTTGGTTCATGCTGGGCATAGTCGAGTAAGACATGTTATTTGGCTGAACCTGGCTTCCAGAACCCGAATGTCGCAACTGGGGAGCAGGGGACTGCTGGGAGTGGGGCTGTTGGGGCTGGGCAGTGTAGGCTGAGTAGCTGTGCTGCGGCGTCTGGGGCGTCGGGGGCCACATTTGGGAATTGGTATAACCGTAGTTCTGGCCGGGTTGTGGCATGCTTCCGCTTGAAGCTGACGAAGAGTTTGTCGGCTTCGAGCTGTTCTGAGCTGGAGCTGGAGCCATACCTCTCATTGTACCTTGAGTGGCCGAAGCCT